CCCCAAAACCCCAAAACCCCAAAACCCCATTTAGCAAGATTTAGAAAATAATCTGCCATTTAATTTAAAATTTTTAAATAAATGTCAATCAGAAAGCTTGATGAAAATTTAATCCCTCATCAAAATACAAATTAATTATCGAATTAAAAAGATTAAGCTAGGAAAAATTAATCACCATTAGATTTAAGACTAAGAAAAAGGCCAATAGATTGGTAGAGTTTAGAACGAAGAAATATCTAAAATAATTCAAGCATAGAAAATTAAAGCAAACAAGATTAAAATCATCATTAATAATACAAATTAAATGAGCGAATGAAGCCCTAATTAAGCAGCTGATAAAAGGCTCTCATAGGAACATAAAAGAATTTTATTCCTCAAATTATCAATTCATCAACTTATAACTAAATCGCGCTCAATAAAGATATCAATATCAATCAAAGGGTTCTATCACAGGATGATGCAAATTAGAAGCATGCGTAAACATAAGACTTTTTATTAAACTATAAGAAACTTAGACAGGAAAGACTTGAACAGAAGAAATTAAAAAAATATGCAATAAATAGATCACCTTAATAGACAGAATCTATCCAAATTGGGGAATAAGAAAATGACTCAGTAAAAAAAGCACTTGATAATTTAGAGGATGGCAAAAAAGGTTTTAATTAAATGGATTCAAATTAAAAGAAATCAGAGTAAAAAACTCTAAGTCAAAAATTAAGTGATTAGTTCTTTTCCTTTAATAACAATTTGAAGTCCTAAGTAAATAGCTAGAGAGATGAAGAAATAGAAAACTTAAAACCCTAATAAGCAACTCCTGAAAATTTAATGGAAGTTGAAAAGAAAATTCAAGAATAGAGAAATCTAATTAATGAGTAGTAAAGAATAAGTTAACCATTTTTGGATATATAAACTTAGAAGGAACCTTCATAAAATAGGCGTGAAAAAGTTGAGTTAATGCACTTGAATGTGGAGGAATTTATGAAAATAGATAAGATAGCTTCTGAATATGGACTTGATTAAGAATAGGACTTGAGGTTTATAAATAGGAGATTAGAAAGACCACCAAAATTTAAGAGGGCTGCTATTGACATGACAAGGTACCCTGTTTAAAACGCGGAAAATAATTCTATTCAATTTCTGATGGATGAACTTATTCATGAGAGATAACAAGTGTATAAATACTACTAAAATTAGGGGTTTTTAGGTAAAACTTTATTGTGCTTGCTGGATAAAATGATCTCTGGAAGTTTAAGCTCAATCAACACAATTGACAAATTGCGAAAAAAGGAATAAGTTAAAAATATAGAAGGTGCGAGAGTAGCTCCATCTATTATGATAAGAGATCCAGAGATACCACTACAATAGCAAAGAGTAAAGATACTTAGACATTTATCCCAGAAAGCTAGATCAGTTCTTTAAGAAGTAATTAAGGTTAAACAGTATCTGCAAAATATAAATCCATCTCAGAATCTCTCTGCAATCGAATACAATAAGGCTAGTGAGATTAAGGTTATTGATGAAGATTTAGCAACTAGATTAGAGCTGTAATCATAATCTGTAAGGAAATTAAAGGGCAGGCTTATGCAAAGAAGCATATCATTAGATGCAAATATTAGAGTTGATTTGAAAAATATGAATAAAGATGATTGGGAAATGATGCTGAAAGTTTTGGAAGTTGAATATAAAAAGGTAGATAATATGATTGAATTGTTTGAATACAACAATGAAAGAATTCACAAAAAAGCATCAAAGTTGCACCTTGCACTTGAATGCTAAAAAGAGCAAAATCAGTTTAACCCAAATTTACTTTCCTAGATCAAATAAAAAAACACCAAAAGGTAGTTAGCATATGTAGAAAAATTGTCTTAAAAGTCGAATCTACTTCAATAAGCATTATAAGAAGAATTAGATATGTAAAAGAAAATGTGCAATAAACATCACTAGTCTCTGCCAACCTTTGAAGTTGATCTTGCCAAGAAAAAATCGAAGAGATTAATGGAGGGTTTATCCTATAAAACTGCCTCTTAAGATATTTTGATGTCTGGTTTCAACGACATAATTAACTTTTTGTGATTTGTAAATTTAATTTTAAATTTGGGTTGCTAAAATATATTCGTTAATCTGCATTATGGGGTTTTGGGGTTTTGGGGTTTTGGGG